AAAAAAAAAAAAAAAAAAAGTAAAAGCATTTAAAAAAAAAAAAATTAAGTTCTGAAAATAATGTTTTTCACAAATATGCATAGAAAATTTAAAAATAGAAAATTATTTTTCAATAAGAAAATTATTAGAAGAAAATAAACAGTCTACCAAAAAAAAAAAAAAAAAAAAAAAAAGAATAAAATGTATTTTGGTAAAATTTTTTATGATGTATCAAAATATTGTAAACAAAATAATATTTTATTTCTTATAAGAAAATATGGTTTTTCATCAAAAAATAATTTTAAATATTTTTTAAAAGAAAACACTAATATGATAGAAGATGGTAAAGTAAATATTCCATCATATAAAAGTTATAAAGGACATAAGTTAAAAGTTATATACGAAAATGATTTTTTTTTTGTTGTTAATAAACCTTATGATATAAAATTAGAAAAAGGAAAATATGACGATATTTATCCATCAGTAGAAACTTTAATTCGTCAAGAAAAAAAATTAGATGTTTTTAGGTAAAATGAATTGTTCAATATAATATTTAATATATATATATGTGTATATATTATTTTAATTAATAAAATAATAATATTTTCTGAAATATAAAATTTATAAAATATTAAAAATTTATAAAATATTAAAAATTTATAAAATATTAAAAATTTATGAAATTTTTTTTTTTTATAGAATATGTGGTCAATTAGATTATGCTACAAGTGGTTTATTAATTGTAGCAAAAGATAAATTAAGTTCAAACATTTTAAATTATAATATTGAGTGTAAAAATATAAGTAAAATTTATTTAGCCATATTATATGGACATTTACCATTAGATATAATGCATATAAATGCTCCCATAAGTAAAATTAAAAATGAATTTAAAATGAAATTATGTTATAATTATAATGATTATTATGATAATGGAAAATATTGTTACAGTTTAATTTATCCATTTAAACATTGTTATTTAAATAATCAAAAAGTAACTCTGTGTGAAATGAGAACAATCACAGGAAGACGACACCAACTAAGATTACACTCCATTTATATAGGAAGCGGAATAGTTGGTGATGAAACATATTTTGAAGATATGATAATTAATAAATATAAAATAAATTGCTCTAATTCAAATAATGATAAAATGAAAGATGAAAATAACAATTATTCCATAAAAAAATTGAATAATGATATAAATGATATTCAAAATATACCTATAAAAAAAATAGAGCTAGAAAGAATGATGCTACACTGCTGGATAATATTAAAAAATAAAAATAAACAAATAAACAAATTAAATAAAAGTGAAAATATAAATTTCTTGGAAGATAAAATATTTGATACAGATTATATAATTTGCGATGATGAATTAAGCCATTATGTTAATGAAAAACAGAGAACATATGAAGAATGTGTTTTAAAAAATGATGATTTAATTAATATCAATTTTATTAATTATAATGTAAAAAATATAAACAAAAATATAAAAAATATAGATAAAAAATTAAATAAAAAAAAATATGATAGTTTATTATATAATTCTTTAATCTTAGAAAATTTAGAAAGTGCAGAACAGAATAACTCAAATTATACATTACAATATAATGAAAATAAAGAAAATAAAGAAATTCATATAAAAAATGAAAAAATTAATGAGGAAATAAAAAAAAATGAAAAAGACATTGATTTTATTAATAATAAAATAGAAACAATTAATGTAACAGACACTTATATAAATAATAAATTAATAGATAATAATTTGATATATAAAGTTAAAAATGATAAATATAAAAATCCAAATGATTTATTTGATGATATTCATGATAGTGTTAATAAATTTAATTGGGGATAAATTTTTTTTTTTTTTAATAAGTTTATATTTATAATAATATTAACAGAACTTTTTTTATATTATGAATATCCTTTACTCTTTTACTTTAATAATGTTTTATATAAATATATATACTTCACAGTTTAAATGAAAGTTAAAAAATGGAATAATAGAATATTCAAAATTTGAGATAGATATGGAAATAACTAATATATGCAAAAAAAAAAAAAAAAAAATAAAATAAAAATTGTACTGAAATATATAGGTAGTAATATTAACATTAAGAAACATAAATTTTTTGCCATAAGTTAATAACTTCTGTGAATAAAAAATAATGATACTTTAATAAACTTTTATAAGAAATTTTTTTTAAAATATATATAATTTTTTGAGTATATGGGGAAAAAATGTATATTTATAATTTTTTATAAAAATACTTCCAAAATAATATTTATTAAAGTGCGCTTCAAAATATATGAATAAAATTGAATAAAAATGTAGAATACATTATTAAGTAAAAAAAAAAAAAAATATATATATATATATATATATATATATATATATATTCTATATTTTATATATAGCAAAACATTTTATATGTTCTTATTCCAATACAACCATATAGGATTATTTTAAAATCATCAAAAATAGACAACTCTTCATGTAAATTACTATTCCTCTTTTTTATTTTAAAATTTTTTGAAATAGGAATTTCTTTATTTTCCCATTTATTTTGTTTCATACATTGTTCTCCTTTTAATAATGTTGTATCAGCGGTTTCATCGCTTGAAAAGCTTACTTCTTCATTAATACCATATTCTGAATAGATTTCTTCAAAACATGTGTACTTCATTTTTATATATAATAAATTTTTCAACCTAAAATTTTCTATGGATATTTCAATATATACATTTAAAAAAAAAAAAAAATTTTATAAATATATTTTTTCCTTTTTTTTTTTTTTCTTCGTCATTTTTTGCTAATGTTGTACATTTTAACAACTCTCCTGTTTTACAAAAAAAAAAGTAAAAAATTGATTAACAATAAGCTTTTTAATTATCTGTAATGTCTTTTACTAAATTATAAATTAAAGAATAAAAAATTATATTGTATTAATTCTTATTTATACTTTTGTTTTTTTATCTTAAAATAATTGTAAATTTTATAAAAAAAAATAATAAAAGAAAAATGAAAAGTACCAAAATAGATCTAATAAAAAAAAAAAGAAAAAAAGACAAATTTTTCCTTTTTTTAGATCTTTTATATTTTATTTTATTTCTTATTTTTTGCATGCAACACAAAATCTTGAAACGTTGAGTGTAATTTTTTACTTATTTTATTTTTTATTCATTTATATCTTTTTAAAAAAAAATATAAAACTTTATTATGAGAAAGTTTTTTTACTATTTTCTTTTTGTTTTTCTTTATTTAAAATACTTTCATTTATAACTTTACAAAGATAAAATATATCTATGTATTTTTTATATATTTTTTTTTATTTATAGATATATTGTCTTTAATATGTTCAAAAGAAAATCATTATAAAAATCCTAATTATGATTACTTAAAAAAAAAAAAAAATAACATTTGAAAGTATAAAGAAATAAATAAAGAATTCTATATTCCCCATTATAAATTTTATGAAAAATAATGTTTACATTTCTTTTTGATATTCTCAAAATAATTACAAAATAAAATATTAATATTAACATTATAATATAGAAAAGTTTACATAAAACCAATATTTTCCATTAAAAACTTACAAAGAGAAATGTAAACATATTTTTAATAGATGATAACAATTAATACAAACAAATTTTATTGAATTTTGATTTTTTTTTTTTTTTATTAACTATAAAAAAAGAAATAAAATTTGTGTGTGTTAAAATATAAAAAAGGTTTTAAAAAATATTTTTATTTTTTTTTTTGAAGTCTACTATATAAAAATGAATATGACTATTTACTTCAAAATATTAAGAAAAATTTTCAATTTTTATAATAATGAAAATGTTTATATGAATACATAAAAAATGAAATTTGAAAATTGATAATTATTGTCTATTTTGTCTTACAATTTTTTTCATAAGTAATTAAAAACAACAAAAATTGTAAATAGGAGAATAAAATAGAAAATTATTATTTATTATATTTTTCTCATATTAAGCAAAAGTATAATTCTTTCAGAATATTTTTTATAAGTTGTAATTTAATTATTATTTCTCTTCAACGTGTCCTATAATTAAAAATGTAAGAATAATAATTAACAAGAAAAATGTTATGTATATATTTACATATTATATACATAATTTTTTTTTTTTTTTTATATTTAACATATTTTATTTTTGTTAAAAAATAATTTTAACTACATATTTGTAAATAGTAAGAATTATATTAATTATATTTTTAAATAAAAAGTATTCTATATAAGTACTAATGAAATAATTTTACGTCTTGACATAATTTTCAGTTAAAACTTTATTTCTATATGTAACAAAAAAAAAAAAAAAAAAATTTAACTCTATTTTCTTTTTTCTAATAAATATTCATACAAAAATTGTGAAGAAATTTTTTGAATTAAAAAAAAAAAAAATTTTTTGGATAAAAAAATTAAAAAGTTTAAAAAAAATAAATTTCAAGTATAATTTAAAAGAATATATATATATATATATATATATATATATATAATAAAACATATGTATATATATATTAAAAAGAAAAAAAATTATTTTGTATTTCTTCTTTTTTTATGTAAGGTTATAATCTCATATAAAATGAATTAACCCTTTATATTAATTTTTATCTTTTTTTAATTATATACATGTTATTAAAAATTGAAAAAATAATTAGAAATATTGATGATTAAATGGTTTTTTAAATACCATATTTTAAAAATTTATTAATGAATAATTATATTTCTTTTAAATAAAATTATTAACAAGAATATAAATTTACTATGTAAGTTTTAAAACAGTCTCTTAATTTTTTTGTATATAATTTGACCTAATATGTTAGATATAATTTAAATTTTTTTTTTTTTTTTTTTTTTTTTTGCATTTTACTGAATATAGATTTTTAATAAAAATTTTGATTCTTTTATGTTCTAATTTGTTTTGGTTTTCTATATATATGTGTAAAATATGTCAGCATTTGAAGAATTGGGGTTACAAAGCAATTTATGCGAATTACTAGAAAAAAATGGAATAGATTTACCAACTGCCATTCAACAAGAATCTATTCCTTTAATTTTAGGAGGAGGTGATTTATGTGCATGTGCTGAAACAGGTACAGGAAAAACTTTAAGTTTTATTATTTCTTCTTTGCAAATAGTACATGAATTATTAAGAAATATAGGAAGTTATGAATCCAATAACAATAATACAACTAGCAATATTTTAAAAAATGATATAAAAGAAAATACCTTGATAAAATCATTAAATAATAACTCGAAAGTTGAAATAAATAATTATGAATGTATATTCAATAATAATCATTCCAATACGTTTGAAGAGGTTAAAGTAGATTGTGAAATAAAAAGTGGAAAATATGCATTTGAAATTGAAATATTATCAAAAAGTTTTATTAACGTTGGATTTTCCCCATTAGTTAAAGAAACATTAAAATATAATTATACTTATTGTAATAATGGATGCAAATATACAAACAATAGATATGAAAATTATGGCGATCCTTTTACAACTAATGATATAATTACTTGTTTAATAAATAAAAATTCCAATATTATATCATTTAAAAAAAATGGTAAATTTTTAGGGAATGCTTTCAAAATATTTTATAAATATAATGAAGTCCCGTTTTTTCCTTATATATGTGGTAAAAATTTTCATATAAAATTTCATTTTAAAAATTTAAAATATATAGACACTTTTTATTTTAATGAATTAAATGATATTTTAAGTAATACCGAAAATGAAAATGACTTTAGAAAAATATATTATGACAATTCTTTAGATAAATATAATGAAAAGGAAAAAGAAAATAAATATAATGTTACAAATAATGATAATCAGAATAATATCTATAATTTCAATAAAAAAAAATTGTATTGTATAGTATTAGTTCCTACAAAAGACTTAGCTATGCAAACATATAATAATTATTTAACATATTCAGAATGTTTCATTAATCCTTCTATAAATATTGGATTATTAGTTGGAGGAGAGAATAATACAAGAGAAAGAAACTTTAACTATAATATAATTGTTTGCACTTGTTTTAAATTGATGGAATATTTAAGAAAAAATATAATTAATGTTAATGATATAAGGCTGTTAATATTAGATGAAGCCGATGAACTTATAAATAACGATGAAAAATCTATTTTACAAATAAAAGATACTTGCATGAAATATTCTCAACATGTGCAAACTTTATTTTTTTCTGCTACGTTACAAGATAAAAGCGTTATGAATTGTATAAATAAAATTACAAATAAACCAATTTTTGTTGATTTAAAATATGGTAAAAATAGTATTCCTTCTCATATTTATGTTTGCATTTATTATGTAAATAGCAAAAATCTTAATTTTTCTTATGAGAAGGAAAACAAAGAAATATATGATATAATTAATAACGAAAAACTCAATAGTATGAGTTATGAAGAATTGTATGAATATACAGATAAAGTTCATATACTAAATACTAAAAGAAATGATAAGGAAAGCATTTCTTTAAATATAAAAATCAATAAATTAAAAAAATTAATTCAAATAATTAATGTTTTTAATATGCAAAATGGTATTATATTTTGTAGAACAAATTTAGATTGTGACAATGTATATAATTTTTTAAATTACGTAGGGGATGGCAAAGCATATAAAGGAACAGTAGAGACACTCAAAGAAAATAAGTATTCATGTGTTATTTTAAAAGGAAAAATGTCAAATGAAGAAAGAAAAAATAATTTAAATGCATTTAAGAAAGGAGAAGTTCGTTTTTTAATATGTACTGATGTAGCAGCAAGGGGTATTGATATTCAAAATATGAGATATTTAATTATCATGACTTTATCAGATAACATTAATACTTTTTTTCATAAAATTGGGAGAGTTGGAAGAGATGGGAAGAATAGTTTATGTATTTTATTATCCTCAGAAAATGAAGAAGAAAAAGTATGGTTTCATGTATGTCCAAGTAGGGGTGTTAATTGTTATAACAGAAATTTGAAAGAGAATAAAGGATGTACTGTTTATATAAATGAGAGTGATTATATTAAAAGTATAAACGATCTATTAGAAAGTCCAATGCATATATTAGATTCTAAATATTTTTATGCAGAAAATATAATTGATCCATTAAATTATTTCAAATTTCATCCAACTACTAATAAAGGTAGAAGAAACAAAAATGAAAATGTTAATTCTATATTTTCAGAAGAAATACATAAAGATGTGCTTAATTATTTTAATTCTAATATCAGCAATATTAGAAAATTACAAAGTGCTATACATTATAAACATTATGAGTTAGTAAATTTTAAAATATAAAACTAAATAATTAGGAATATTGAATATACATAAAGGTAATACTATTCTTTTATATATATAATTAACTATATTATTTAATTCATTAATATAATTTCATTTTACGCATTTTTCTTTTTTATTATTCTTAATATATATATGAAGTATCATTTTAAGATATTTCATATAATCAATTTTAGTCTTTTTTATTTTTTTAAAGTTAGATATATAAGAAAATAAATAAATAAATAAATAAATAAATAAATAAATATATATATATATATATATATATATATATATATATATATATATCCTTGAGTATAACAAAAATATAATAATTCCATGCATCATAAAATTAATTACATCTAAAAAAATTATATTAAAAAAAAGAATTAAATTAAACAATGGAATAATATATTAAATATTCAAATCATTTATAATATAAATATTTCTCATTTTAAAAATAAATACATATGGAATGATAATAATTTTTTGTTATTCTTTTTTTCATTAAACTTTTTACTTGAAATTCATAATTTATATTATTGTTAGTCTTTTTTTTTTTTTTTTTTTTTTTTTTTTTTTTTTTTTTTTTTTTTTT